TCCTGGGAAGTTGAACGTGATGTGCAAGTATGCAGCACTGATTCTTATTTTCCTGTTCACATTACTCCCTGATAAAAATAATCTGGGTTAGATTATAGTGCTTGATTTTCTTGTAAAATAATGCTCAGTCATTTCTAACACAACTGCACGCACTCTTTCAACACAATCACACACACACCTGAGAAAATGTCATTTTCTCTCTAGCCTCTATTTTTTTCACTTACCAATCTATTACCAAGAACGAGAGTCTCCCTCAGATGACAGCAGCCTCTAAAGATGATCTGAGGATACAGAGTAGGAGTGGAAACAGCTCTGTCTCAAACAGCACAGATTCAAGCAATGTCTCCTGGAGGAGAAGGCCCAGCTCCCGGAGCAATGCTCACAACGGGGTGGACAAGAACCATCCATGTCTGATGCCTGCCCTCAGGTGAGCAAAGCTCAGCAAGACGTAGGCCACCAGGAGGGGGAATCACTGCACACATCATCCCGTTCGCTCCCACCAGAGCCAGGACACAAGTGCGACTTTGAAAAACCATCATGAACAAAAAACAAAAGCAAGCCATTGCATATTTTGGCAGATTGAGATAACAATAAAAGCTGGCACAGCGGCATTCTCCAAAGTTTCCGTATCGTGGTAAGATGCAGCCCTAAAGCTTCCCTTGATTTTGGTGTTTTTGGTTTGGTTTTGGTTTGGTTTTGTTTTGGTTTTTTTTTTGTTTGTTTGGTTTGGTTTTTTTCCTTTTATCTTGCTAAGTGACACTGTCTGAAAGACAGAAGGGCTGGAAGGACACTGCAATGATACATCTGAGGAAATTTCGCTGTTCAGGCTCTCTCAGAAAAATCAAATAACTGTCACTGCCAGTATAAACAGATTCCTGCAAACGCAGCAAAGGAAAGAGGAAACCAGATGTTCCTAGAAATTAATAACTATAAGTGCAACTTTTAAATTTATTTCGCTGTCTTCAACTCTGTTTACTTAGATATTCCTATTCCAGCAAACACCCTGAAAGACATTGTGGCCACCTTGCAAACTCCTGAACAGAGCAGACCACAAAACTTCCCCATCTGTTAGTCAAGTTGCAACGCTTGACATTGCTTTTTTTAATACAGAAAAGTATTGAAGCTTGTTGGAAAAGTTGCCTGCAAACACAAAGTCATCACTGACTTTGGGAAGTTTGTTCTCATGCTGGATTCTCCACCGCTTACAAAGATAAGCTTCGGTTTCCATGCACACACTTGCATACCACCACCCGCCATGCTGAATTCCCACAGAGCTTCTGTCCCCACAAGTACACACAGACCAACCAAATCTTGCCGTTGAACAACCAAGATAGAGCTCCTGTCACCGCATGGCAGCTTTTCTCACCGTCATACATCATCTCTGAACCCTGCCCAGCTTTCCACCAGCCCGCACACCACACACCGCCACCAAGCCTGGGTGTAGCAGCACCGAAGTGTTTGCACCTGAGCTAACACACCCTCTTCTCCTCCTCCGCTGCTGCAGTGAGGTACCAAAGACACCTTCTCCCGCCTGTCTCCAGCCCCGCTTTCTGTGCTCAACACCTTCATGAACCTAGACAAAAATTACTGCTTCCTAGGACAGACCTCATTCCTTCCTCCCTTGTTTCTCTGTTTGCGTAACAGGCCCTTCGTGAACAGTTTTGCTTTCTCCAGTAATAGAAGTGTGGCCTCATCAAAAGCACAGTGCCAAACGAACCAGACCACTGCTCGGATCCTCATCTCTTCTTTCCCACTCAGCACTCCAAGTTGCTTGTGCACTTCATCAGCTTTCAGCTGCAAACTTTTTTCAGGTCATTGACAAAATCAGCAGTAGGATCCTTATGAGACCATTAGCACAATGTCCCCAATGTTCTGGGAGCCACTAATTTAACACAGGTTACTTTGAGCTCATCTCTCTTCAGTTAATTCATCTGGAAACCCCAAATGCATGATACCAAATGCTTTAGGGAAACCTATGTTTACAACATGTAGTTGTTTGGGGTTTTTTTTTCAGTAAACGTCAAACCTGCAACAACACCATCTCCACACCAAACTTCAGCCACCAGCAGTGCCAAACCAGCACAGAGAGCTTCACCGGCTCCTACCCAACACGGAGAGGAGGCACCTTCCCCAAAAAACAGCAACGTGGTGGTGGGGACACTGGGCAAACCCCGCCAGGCAGGATGCAGATGAGAGGGGTCTCCGGCAGGATGGCCAGCCCTCTGCCGTTACCGCCGCCGGCGCGGCACAAGGATTCTCCACACGAGAGGTGCTTCCAGGTGGGATACCCACGGCCCCTGCCCCCGTGGGAGGCAGGGACGGCCCCGAGCAGGAGGGCACCGGAGGTGCTCCCCTCCAGGGGCCGGGGGAGGCAAACCGGGCCCGCAGCCGAGGTCTGCCCGCCGGCGGGCACGGCTCCTCGAGCCTGCGGGCCGCCCGCTGCCGGTAGAGCGGGGCAGAGCCTCCGCAGAGCCGCCGGAACGAGCGGCGGGGCCGGCAGCCTCCGCCCCGGACCTGCCCCGGCGGAAACCCCGCGTCTCGATCCTTCTTCTGAACGGAAATTAGACTTTACCCCTCCCCCCCCCCCCCCCCCACCGGCGACACCTCGGGGCCGCCCCCCCGCCGCGGCGGACGGTCAGCGCAGGCCGGGCCAGGCCCACCGCCCACCCCGCCGGAACCGGGCAGCACCCGGGGAGGCCCCGCTCACCGGGCGGCGGCGGGGAGGAGGAAGAGGAGGAAGATGGGGAGGAGCGGGGCCCGGCGGGGAGCGGGGCTGGGGAACCGGCGGGGTCTCACCTGACTCTGGTCGCGCCACTCCCGCCTCTGCCGCGTGCAGCTCCCCGCCCTGACCCCCCCCTCCCGCCCCGAACCCGTTCGGCGCAGCCAATCAGCACCCGGCGCCGCCGGCACCGCCGGCCAATGAGCAGAGTGAACGCGTCCCCGCCCAGCGCCATCGGCCGACAGAGCCCGCCCACCTCCTTCGCCCGTGAGCCTATCCCCTGACCCGGGCGCGGCGCGCGGCGGGAACCCGGCGCCCGGCGCCCAATGAGAAATCACAGCGCGTCCCGCGGCAGCCAATCCGCGACCGGGCAGGGCTTCCCCGTAGGAAAAGGGGCGGGGGGGTCCCCGGGGCTTCGCGCAAAGAACAGGGGAGGGACGCACGTAACCGCATGGGGGCGCTTCCTCACGTGACCGGGCCCCCTCCAAACCCCGCCCTCGCCCGCCGCTCCGGCGCCCACGGGGACCGGAGCACTCCCACCCCACCCCACCCCACCGCATCCCACCCCACCGCATCCCACCCCATCCCCGAACGGCACCGCGGGGACGAGCCCCGCACGCCGGCCTCCCCCGCGGGCAGCAGCCGCCCGCCCAGGGCCGGGGGGGCGAGCGGCACCGGGGCGTCCCCGCGAGGGCGACGGGCGGGATGGCGCTGGGGCTCTGTCCCAGGGTTGGGGCAGCTCGGAGCTGCGGGGCGGCAGGCAGCCCCCGCGGAAGCTTTTGGGGGCTGTAAATGGATCTTACGGCCTCCCCGTGCCATCGCCCCGCTCGGCCGTGGGCAGCTGCCGCGCTACACAGCCATGCCTCGCCTCTGCCTCCGGGCAGGGTGTCCCTCATCTGCCGTGAATTGCTCGTGAACTGCTCGTAAAGAGGGTGGTTCAACTCGAGTGGGAGCCCCGTGGGGCGGGGGGAGAAGCAGGATGGCCGGCCTCTGTCTTCCTCACGTTGCAACCCCAGAGACAGCACTTGCGCAGCTGTGCCGGGGCAAGCCCCCAAAACCTGAGAATCTTCTGGAACATCCAGATGTAAAAAAGACTATATAAAGACGACACCCACCACCTCTTGTTTTCATCAACCCACCACCTAGGGATCAAGCTTGCTGCTCTATGACAACATGGGATCCAAAGGGTGGCGATTCCCCTCTTCCTATTCTCCCCCCCTCTTCTCTTTCCTCTTTCTCTCCCCTTCTTACGTATATTGAGGTATATAAGTTTTGTATGAATTGCGACAGGTTGCTACGGCACTTTGACAAAGGGACTATTTTCTTTATTTGTTCACCAAAGGTTTTCAGTTGATTGTTGCCAACTTGTCTCCACTCACTCACTAACACTGCCAGTTAATAAAGGTAACGGCTAAATTATTCCTCTGAGTCATTGCCGTGACTCGACCCTGCGCTGTGGCTCTGCTGAGCAGACTGGATTATTGTCTCCCCGCCACCCCGTATGCAGGCCCTCGGGGAATTCAGAAGATTCACTCCCCTCATAATCCGCTGAGTGGGATAAGACACTTCCCCACAGCTCATCCCTGGGTTTCCCTGTTGTTGGCTTTTCTTCTGCCATTCCCACCCAGGTCTCACCTTACACTCAACCTGCCCTGCGAAACAGCCCTGCTAATATGGTTATGAGGCAACCTCAAGATGTCTTACAGTCCAGATTTTACATTTCAGGAAGGCTCTTCTTTCCCACCCCCCTGCACCTGTGGGATGGAGACAGGGCCGGCAAAGCCTTGGGTGGATGAGGATGCTGCTGCCCGAGGCGGTGTCTCCCTGCCAACACCCCCAGACCCAGACAGGGCCGTGCGAGGAAGGGATGAGCCGAGTTCAGCCCCAGACAGGTCTGGAGGGTTTTGGGGTGTGTAGATGAAGGGGATGTCAGTCCTTGGCAGAGGATGGATGCCTCTGCCTGGCCCTGGGGCTGCGAGCTGTGAGCGGAGCTGCCCTGTGCCTGGCTCTGAGGGGTGCAGGAGGGCTGGGGGCCATTTCACCCCATTGGTGCTGGGGCCAGTTTCATGATGCCCCAGCATCACAGGGATGTGCTGAGCATCCCTAGGAGGAAATCTGAGCATGGCTGCAAAGGGCGCAGGGGCTCTAGCCCCACGCTGGGTGGTCTCACAGACATGTGCTGGGCTACAGGTCACCTTCAAGGGCACTTGGGGTAGGATATGGCAATGGCCCAAGGGCTGAGCCTGAGCGGGAACAGGAAGTGACAAACATTTGCTTTCATTTTCCATCCACAGCAGAAAAAGCTTCGTGTCTGCTTCGGCAGACTGGGGATTGAGGGTTGATGGCGGGTGAGTATGACCAGTGGTGCTGGGGCTCGGTGGTGGGATGAGGTCCTGTCCAGGTCCTGCCTGGGTCCTGCTCGCCCCGATGCACAGGGACACAGCGCAGCGTGCTGGCTGGCACCTGGAACACTGCATCCCTGAGTAGCTGGGGTCCTGCTCCTCAGAAATGCGTCCCCTGGGTCACTTTCTGTGGGCACGTGGGAAAAGGGGGAAGTGGGCGATGGCAGGGGAAGCCCCCAGCGTGGGCGATGAAGGAGGGGAAGCAATCAGGATAGATGGTGGGGGAGGGATCTGCAGCTGGGGTGGGGGTGCAATAGGGAAGTGGGCAGCACCCAGAGGAGGCGATGGGGAAGAGGAAGCACTTGCAGTGGGCAGTGGGGCAGCAGGAGCCATGGTGTGGGGACTCGGGGCACTGATGGGGCTGCCCTGCAGACAAGGTGCTCCTGAACGTGAGGACAGCCTTTGTGGAGCGTGTGAGCAAGCCAGTGATCTCTGGGCTGCTGGACGACCTGTTGGCCCAAAGGGTGCTGAACCTTGAGGAGGTGGACGAGGTGCAGGAGAGATACTCGGTGCGTGCCGACAAGGCCCGCTGCCTCATCGACAGCGTGCGCCTGAAGGGCCTCAGGGCCAGCCAGGTCTTCATCGACAGCCTCAGGAGACGCGATGGCACCTTGGCGGAGCAGCTGGGTCTGGCCGCTGACTCAGGTGAGAGATGCGGGGTTGTGGTCCGGCCCCGGCCGTGCTGGGGCTCGCGGCGCTTCCAGCAGGATGCTGGAGTGGGGCCAGGTCCTGGTGAGTGACCAAGGCCTGAAGGCAAAGGGCAGTTGGGTGTCCCCGGTGCCACTGCTCTGTGGCACTGAGTGCCCCTTGCCATGCAGCGACAACAGGGCGCTCTCGGGGGTGGCTATCCTCCGTGGGGCTGAACAGGGACCCCCCGAGGGCAGAGCCCAGCTGTGCTCGCCTGCCTGTGCCCTACAACAGCCTCTTCTTGCTGCAGGCACTTCCCAGTATAACTGTGGAGCTTTCTGCTTGCAGGGCCCACCGGTGCGCAGCTGGCCTCCTCCGACACCAAGGCCCTCCTCCCTGAGCCCCCCGTTGGCGTCCAGGGCCAGCAGTGGATCCGGCAGTGCTCCCTGAGCGAATACCAGCACATCAGGGACACACAGGGTGACCAGGTGCTGCAAGGCAGAGGATATAAATGGAGGGCTGGAGCGTGGCCCTGCCAGAGCAGGCAGAGGCTTGCCGAGGGGAGCCAGGGTCCTCACTAACCCAGGAGCAGGGCAGGAGATGTGGGGAGATGCCCCAAGGTCAGGGAGATAGGGTCACTGCACCTGTGGGCCTTCTCTATTAGCTGCCTCCCAGGAAAAGCCCCCTGCACCCACCCACTGCTGAGCACGGACTCCCTCTGTCCTCACAGATCTATCCTATCTATCTGTCACGGGAGACGCGAACCCGTAGGGCCCTGCTCATCTGCAACATTGAGTTTGACCACCTGAGCTGGCGGAAGGGGGCTGAAGTGGACGTGAAGGGGATGACAAAGCTGCTGGAAGGGCTGGGCTACGCGGTGGACACCCATTGCAACTTAACTTCCCAGGTAAAGTACCGCACCAAGCATCTGCCACCGGCCCTGGGGAGTGGTGCAGAGACCCTCCCTGCATGTGTTGGTGATGGGGGGCTCAGGCACCACAGGGACACCTCTGTCCCCAGTGGCAGTGGCTCCTGCCCACAGCTGGGGGCTGGGTCTCCACACAGCTGGTCACAGGTGGCTGATGTTCCTTCCTTGTGATGGTTCGTAGGAGATGGCTACAGCCATGAAGGATTTTGCAGACCGCAAAGAGCACTGGACTTCTGACAGCACATTCCTGGTCTTCATGTCCCACGGGGTCAGGGCTGGGCTCTGCGGCACCAAGAGCAGAGACGAGACCACAGACATCCTTTCCCTCGACACCATCTATGAAAAGTTCAACAACAAGCACTGCCAGGCGCTGCTGGGCAAACCCAAAGTGGTCATTATCCAGTCCTGCCGTGGAGGTGAGTCCCCGCTACGAGGTGCCTGCGAGGCAAGCGAGCTGGCCAGGCTCTCCCAGGGCACGTGAGCCCTAAGCACAGGCTGGGGACAGGACACCCCATCATTGCTGATGGCTGGCTCTGCTTTCCCAGGCATCATAGGATCTGTGATGGTGCATGACTCCGCAGACCCTGCCATGCCCACTCCCAGCTCAGCTCACACAATCCCTGCAGGGCTGGAAGATGATGCAAAATGTGAAGTCCACCTGGAGAGTGATTTTGCCACTTTACATTCCTCCACACCTGGTAAGCAGTTCCTGGAGATATAGTTGCTCTGCCTGAGGGCAGGTGGACAGGATTCCCATTCCTGAAGCCATGGGTCTCCTCCACTCCTCCTCCTCCTCAGGGTGGTTTGCCAGGGGTCCCCTCCATCCCGTGACCACTTGGACACTGCTCCAACAGCCTCTGGAGAAGGCAGTGTCCCCCGATGCCAGGGTACAAGGCTGTTCCAGGACACCCACAGATCCCTCTTAGCGGCACCGGGGCTGGAGCTTTGTGCCCCTGCCTGGCTGCCTTCCTTGGCCCTGGCTCCAGCCCTCCCCACCAGCTCTGCCTGCACCCCCTCCCCAGACGACTTATCTCACCGCAGTGGCTGGTCGGGGGAAATTGTCTTCTCCTACTGGGTCACAGATGGCTCCAAGGCTGTGCCAGCTTGGCAGCTGGCATGGCTGAGAGCATGGGAGAGCACAGTGGCTTAAAGAAAACATTCACGTCACTTCTGTCTTCCCTGGGATGCCCTGTCCTTTTCCCATGCTGTGGGTTGGATGGGCCAAATGAATGATCTCAGTGAAGGTGCCCCAGGCTCCTGCTCCAGCACCCAGTGTTAATCACTATTGCAGTGAGGGACACCAGGGAAATCACACTTGGCATCTTCCGTCTCCTCAGATACTGTTTCCTGGAGATGCCCAGTAAATGGCTCCCTTTTCATCCAGTGCCTGATAGAGCAGTTTCGAAACCATGCCTGTGACAGCGACTTGCAGGAGATCTTCCGAAAGGTGAGGCATTGTAGTTAACTACATGTGCGCTGGCAGATGCAGATATGCCAATGGTCAGAAATACTGCTCAGAGCAGAGCTTGAGCCAGGGCAGGCCATTTCTCAGCAGGCCCCTTGGGAGCAGGCTCTGTCAAAAAGGGGTCTGGTTGGGCCTGGGAAGTCAGCTGGATCTCTGGAGGCATCCGCACCCTGCCATGTGGTGGGCAACGCACAAGCCCAGCATGTCAGTGCAGCCCGTGGCATCCCTTGTGCCATCAGACACATGCCCGGAGATGCCCTTGGGGATGCCTCTTGGCTCCCTGCACCCTTCCCACGCTGGGAATGGAGCTGCTCTCATTTCCCCCTGCTGTCTCTTTCATCCCAGGTCCAACATTCCTTTCGAAAATTCCCTCGGCAGTTGCCATCACAGGAACGGACTACAATGCTCAGAAAGTTTTACCTCTTCCCAGGCCACTGATCTGCCCATGGTGAGTCTTTTCACCTCATGTGCCCCAAACCCAGTACCTGGCCATTGGGGAGGAGTGGGGAGGAATTGCCCATCACTCCTGGGCTCCAGACCTTGTGGCTTGGACAGGATATCCAAAGGACTTGTGCTGGTAGCTGGGGCCGGGCAGTGGCCTGACTCCATCCCCATCTCCCACCTGGCCATAGGAGAGACAGGCGCTCAAGGAACTCGTTTCGGTAGCCCGTGTCTCAGGAGCTTCTTGGTCTAATGTTCTTCACAGGTGAAAAAATAATACGTTGACAGCAAAAGTGTTTGAATTTGGGAGTAACACAGCAGAAAGCTCAAGCTCAAGGTGAACGCAGCCCTGCTCCAGAGAGATGCACCTCTTCAGAAAAGGAAAGGCCAAGAGGAAAAGCCAAGAACAGCTCTGTAGAAACACAGTGAACCTCCAAACCAGCCACTTGTTCCCCCTCTCCTAAGCAATTACAAACAGACCTGGAATAAAATAGTCCTTGGCCTCCTGTCCTCTCTTCCTTTTGTGGCCTCCAGACAATCCCAAAATGAGCAAACTCTTCCCAGAGAGCAGCAGAGACACCTGGCTTTGAGACACCAAATGCAAAGCTGGTTAGTGTCTCTCAACTAGCCCGGTTGAGACAGAGATGATCCATCACTCCCAGAGCCGCTTCCACCCTGGCTCTGGCTCTACCCGTTGCCTAACAAAGAGATTTTCACAGCAGACGGCACAGCTCCTCTGCCTTTAGCCTGTGGTGGGTGGTTGTTACAGCCAGCAGTAGCTGCTGTTATGTTGGACACCGAGTAGGTGGGAGGTGAGAAATCAGAGGGAGCTGAGGGAGGAGGGGATGCCCGCCTTTCGGGGCAGGCTGGGCAGACCTGCTCCAGAGGGATTTCCAGGCCCTCCCCTTGGAGGCTTGCAGCATCTCCTTGCTCAGGAGGCAGCTCCCCCCACTCCCCGATCCTCTCACTGTCCTTGAGGCAGAGGAAGGACACGATTCCCCCTGGGAGCCACAGATCTTGATACCTGCATCTTATGCTCCCTGCTCCCGCAGCTCTGCACATTATGAGCCCAGCCCAGTCGCTGCCTCCCCCCAGCATCCCTGCTGGTAAGCAAGAGCCCCTTCCCCTGCCCACCGCCACCCTCCCTGTCCTCCACAGCCACATCCAAACCATCTTCTGCCTTGGCATGGATTCTGCTTTATTGCACATTCTGCAAAGTCACAGCCAGATCCACAACCAGGTGGTCTGGCAGCAGGAAAATGAGAGGGCTCTCCTGCCCCCTCCCAGTGTTCGAGACACTCCAGCGCAGGCAGGACAGGCTGTGTCCTGGACCAGTGCCACCCTGAGACCCTGCGAGGGCAGCAGGAGAGCTTGGTGGGACGGAGGTGCCTCTCCGCTCTGGCTCCAGGCGACCTGGGGTGGGAGAAGGCCTTGCAGGCAGGATCATAATACAAAGTAGGCAGCTGGTCCAGGCCGAGCCCCTTCTCACAGAGCCCCACGTCACTGCCTGGAGCTCCTCAGGTCCTACGCGGTGCTGGCAGAAACCTCGGTCCCCAGTGCTATGGTGGTGGCAGGAAATTGAGGACAGCAGTGATGAAATCTTCAAATTTATCCTGATGGACTATGTGGCCTGCACCTTTGATGTACTGGACATCTGCCTTGGGGAAGAGGCGCTGGATCTCCGGGTAGTCTTTGGAGCTGCAGGACAAGCGAACACACCACGGGAAGCATGGTCAGAGGTCCATCCAGGTGCCTTTCCTCACACACCACAGGCAGAGGAGAATCCCACATCTAACCATGTCCCCTTCCCCGCTGGGAAAGCCTGGGGCTTCCCCCAAGTTCCCCCTCATTCTCCAGCGCATCAGTGTCACCGGCTGCTGGAGGCACAGAGCTCACTCCAGGACTGTCCCCATCTCAGGGCCTTCTTCCCACCCTGGAGAGCTGCAGAAGAGCACAAGGGGTCAAACCACAGACTTCAAACCGCTTTTCTCCAGTCCCACCTGATATAGGGTGAGTTAGATCCTCCCAAGAAGAGCGCAGGGCCAGGATATGGCTCGTGGAAGACAGGGAAGTTCATTATATCTGCCAAGTGGTGGGAAATAGCCTCCAGGTTCACCCGCCAGGTGTAGTGGCCTTCCACCTCCACCAGGTTGGTGAGGAGGAACTGTCTCAGCTGTGGGAGCTGCCACAAAAGGGGATCGTACGCTCCTCAGTAATAGCAACAAGTCCTCAAGATGTCCCAGCACCCTCCATCCTCCGCTCTACCCCCTTCTGCCCATCTCCCATGCCGTCACATTCCCCATCACCCCTGCAGCCTGGGTGAAATGTCCTCCAGCTGCCCCGACAGTGGCGAGTGAGCAGGGGTGGAAAAAGTCTTGTGGCCCTAAAGCTCTGTGCTCCAGTCATAGGGACAGGCTGGGAGCTGAAACCCCATCCAAGGAGCAGGATTTCCTACCTGGACCACGGGACGCAGCTGATCGTCAGCCAGCTGGCGGGCCGCAGAGCGGGACAGGCCATCCGGGATCTTCACCAACTTCATGGCAGAGATGTAGGCAGAGAATTCAGAGACGGGTGTGGATGAGACGGGACTAATGTCTACGGAGATGAGGCGCTCCACCAGGTCTGGCTGGGGACACAAGCAGGATGGATGGATGCCAGCTGAGATCTCTGTAGTGGGACCAGGCATGGGGCTCTGCTCCCACCCAGACTCCATGGAGGCTTTTAGCTCCCTCCCGCCTCAGCAGAGCACTCCACGTGCCCTTTCCCAAGCCCCTGTGTCTTGGCACAGGAGATCTCCAAGCTCCCTTGCAATCAGTGCTGGAGAGACAGGGCAGAGCATGGGCTGGCAGGCAGAGACTGGCTCCTGCTCCCACAGCCCGGCTTAGAGCTCTGAGCGGGACAGCACCTCCGACCATGATAGAGAAAAAACACCCTCTGCGGGGCTGTGGGCAAGGCCGGCACCCGTAAACAGCCCCCCACGGGTGTCACCCCCCTTCCTACAGCCTCCCACCCCGGGAGCACCCCCCGCCAGCCCCGGGACCCTGCGCCTGCTGACCCGCTGCAAGGCCAGCATCATGGCCGTCTTGCCCCCCATGCTGTGTCCCAGGAGGATGCACTTGGTGATGCCCAGGCGGGTCAGGAGGTGCTGCACATCCAGGCTCATGGCTTCGTAGGTCATCAGCGGGCTGTGGGGGCTGTCGCCGTGGTTCCGGGCATCTGGTGTCAGCACCTGCCTGGGCAGGGGGAGCGTGTCACCCCGCTGGTGGGCACCACCTGCCCGTGACCCCCCCACCCCAGGGCCTCACCTTGACGCTGCCGCGGCGCACCAGGGTCTTGGCCACCGTGCTGAAGTTGCCGTGGCTGCCGAAGAGCCCGTGGAGCAGCACCACGGGCGGCCGGTCCCCACGATCCCCAACCTCCACGTGGGCCAGCGGCACGGCCCTGCCGGGGAGAGGGTCGCCTGGGGGCGTGGCTTGGGCGCGGGGGTACGTGGGGGGCGTGGTCTGTGGGCGGGGGCGTGGCCAGGGCGAGGGGGCGGGACAAGGGCTGCCCTGCTGGCAGGGAGGGTGGGGCGGCGGAGGCTAGGGGCGGGGCCACCTCCAGGGGGCGGGGCCCAGCCCTCGGTGGTGAACCGCATCAGGGGGCGGGGCTAACAAGGGGGGCGTGGCTCACCCCCGGGTAACGGGGAATTCCCCCCCACCTCCCTCTACCGCCTCTCGGGACCCCTCCCGCCGCCCCGGCCCCCCGCGCGGTGGCCCCTTACGTCACCACGGAGCGGGCGGCCGCGGCGGCGGGCGGCAGGCGGGGGAGAGCGCGGGGCAACCGGCGGAGCATGATGGCGGCGGGGGCGTGACGCGAGTGGCCCCGCCCCGCTGCCCGGCGGCTGGGCGCCCCCTGGTGGCGGGAGGGCCGGCCTCCGCCTTCCTCCTCTCCTCCTCCTCCTCCTCCTCCGCCCGCGGGGCGTCTGTGGACGGCAAGGTCACGGCCCGCGGGCAGCGAAACGGGGCCGTGTCCCCGTGTGTCACCCCCCCCCCAACACACCCACCCACCCCCGGTGCCGGCGGAGCCGCGGGCCGGGCAGAGCCGGAGCCGGGCGGGCCCGCCCTGCCCCGGCGCAGCCGATCGTTATCGCGGCCGCCCGCGGGCAGCCAGGCGTGCCGGGGAGCGGGGCCAGGCGGGGCCCCCGGGGGGGCCGGAATTTGAGCCGGGCGGATCACCTGCCCGCCGGCGGGGCGGCGGGATGCTGCGCCGGGACAAAGCGCCGGGGCCCCGCCGGCTGCGGGAGGACCTGAGGCCGAGTGCGACAAAAACCTCCGGCGCAAACGGGCAGCGGTTTTCCCCCCCCCGCCCCCCCCCCTCCCCGAGCCGCTCCGAGCCCCCCCCCCCCCCCCCCCGGGCGGGCAGCGGCGGGGCGGGAGTTCGCTCGGTCCCCGGTAGCGCAGGATCGGGCCGTGCACCTGCAGCGGCTCCTTCCCGCTTTGTCCCTGCCCGCTGGAGCGTGGCGGGGGGGGGTGTGTGTGTGTGTGTGTGTGTGTGCGTGTGTGTGTGTGTGTGTGTGTGCGGTTGTGCAAGGGCGGCCTCGCCCCAGCCGCCGCTCTTCGGGGCGGGGAGGGGGGCAGCACCCCGTGTTCCCCCCCGAACCAGACTTTGGACCGGGCGAGCAAGGAGTGCCGCCGCCGGGTTTCGGTGCCCGCTCCGCTGCCGACCCCCTCCCCCGCGACGGCTGCCCCCGAAACGGGCGGGGAGGGGGGGGCGGTCGCCCTCCTCCCCCCCTCCCATGAACAGAGACCCCCGGGGAGTTGGGGGGGGGGCTGTGGCGTGAGATCCCCGTCCCCAAATCCGCTGCTGCCGGGGTGCTGCCGTAGTGGAGAGTGTGGGGTGGCTCCTGGGGGGGGGCGGTAGCCCCAGCCCCCCCCCCCACTCCCTGTACCCGGTGGGATTCTGCCCCCACCCCCACCCCAGCTCCAAGGATACTCGGGCTACCAAAACAGGACACGTTTATTGACAAATGTAACCGGTACAGACCACGCGTAACAGGGACAGATGGTGCCTGGCCGGTGGCGATGGGGGGGGGGGGACACACACACACAGAACACCGGGGGGGGCCACCGTCCCCGTCCCTGTCCCCATCCTGTCCCATCGGTGTGGGCAGGGGCACGCCGGGCGCCGCTTCTCCTGCCGACCCGAAACCGCCTCTTGTTTAACCGAAACCGTCTCTATTTACACAGCCTGGCCCTGACCCCGCGGCTGTCCCCGTCCCCTCCTTCGCGCCCCCCCCCGCCCCGGTGCCGCCATCCCCGGTCCCCGTGGAGGGTGATGAGGATCCCAGGGGATAGGGGTGGGGTGGGTGGGTTGTTGGGGGGGTGCCGGGGGGTCCCAGGGGAGCTCAGACATAGTTCCTCTTGTCGTAGCTGGTGACGGCGGAGCGCGGGGCGGAGTAGGCCACCTTGCCGGTGGGGTACCTGTCGTCTTTGGGGGGGCAGGAGCAGCAGAGCAGGGACCCCCCCAGCATCAGGAGGGCCGAGGCTGCCCAGCCTACGTAGAGCGAGGTGCCCAGCTCCCGCTTCTGCGCGTCGAGCACCAGCGGGTTGTAGAAATCCCGGATGATGGTGTTGGCCGACCAGGAGACGGGGATGAGGGTCATGACGCCGGAGAGGAGGAAGATGACGCCGGAGACGATGGTGATCTTGGCTTTGGTGCTCTCGTCCTCCACGCAGCGGGTGCACTGGGCGCCCACGATGGCCACCAGTAAACCCAGGACGGCCAGGACGATGGCCACCACCAGGAGGGCGCGGGCGGCTTGCAGGTCCTGCGGCAGGGCCAGCATCGAGTCGTAGACCTTGCACTGCATCTGCCCCGTGCTCTGCACCACGCAGTTCATCCACAGCCCTTCCCAGATGATCTGGGCCGTCACGATGTTGTTGCCGATGAAGGCCGTCACCCTCCACATGGGCAACGCGCAACAGATGATGCTGCACAACCAACCCAGCACCGACAAGGCCACCCCGCCGATCTCCAACCCCATCGACATGGTGGCCGGTTCGCTGTCGCGCTCCGAGAGGATGGCGGAGAAGAACCCACGGACCGAAACCGTCGCCGTCACCCGTCGCTGCTTGCAGCCCTTGGGGGATCGGCTTACACCTGGGTGCACCTGCGCTTATAAGGGCTGGCGGGGCCAGCTCAAGCGCCCGCCCGGGGTGGGGTTTCGCTGCTGGACGCTCCTCTCTGCTCCTCCGTCACCGTCACCCGCGTCCCACACCCTCCCCTTTGTTTGCAGAGATGGCGCCGGTTACCGGAGAAGGGCGGGAGGGGGGGGGAGAGACGTTACCTGCCACGGCCATCCCCTTGGTTTCAGGGTGATGGATACCAGGAAGCACAACCACCACGCTGATTCAGACTCACCGAACCCCCTTGGGGACCTGGAAATCCCTCAGCTTTGCCATTTCCCCCCCCCGCCCCCACCACAAAGTGCCGGCGGGTCAGGGTTTGGTTTATTTCTGGAGCGTCTTATCAGTGCTCACGTTTAACTGGGGTTTGGCAAGCGCCGGGCACCTTTGCATCGCCGTGCAAAGTGCAACCCTTTCACCATGCTGTGATGCTTGTTCTTCTGGCACCACTGTCCCAGGGGACCCATGGGTGCTCCCTGCCTGGCAGGGTGGGAGCAGGAGGTTTCCACCCCCACCCACCCCCCCCCCCCCCCGGCCCAGCTCCCTCCTGCTCCCACGCTGCTGGGCAGGGAGCACCAGCGGGGATCCCCAGACCGGATGATAAATATCTTTACTCATCCTGCCCATATATTTTGGCCTTGAAGGAAGCACCAGATAACGCACGGAACCACCCTGGCAGCGTCACCCCATCAACCTGAGCGGGCAGCCAGTGAGGGGGAAACAAGACGGGTGCAGGCAGGCTGCCGGCAGCCACGCTCAGACCTGGCAGCAGCAGCCCCACGGCTGTGGGGTGCATGTGTCGTGTCCCCCCCCCCAACCTTGCATGCTGGTATTTCCAGACCCCCACCCCCCCTTGGAATGTGGTTGCTGGCCCCCGCTGGATGCAGGCTTGCTCCTGCCTGTTCCCTGCCTGCGCCAAAATCTCCTCTACAACTTATTAACTACTCAAGAGGGCGGCGGGATGCTGGCAGCCGGTGTGGTGGAAGGAGCCCTCCCTGCTCGGGCACCTGAGGTCTGCGGTGGTGGGGGGGGGATCCCTGTGTCCACCTGGCTGTGCCCTGCAGCACCCTGACACCCTGTAGCCAGGGGGGTTCAACTTCATTTGCCCCGCAGCACCCCGAAACCCTGTATCTGGCTGAGTCAGCTTCTGCTGCCCTGCAGCGACCTCAACCCAAACAGCCAGTGGGGTCAGGTTCTGCCACCCCACAGGACCCCAACACCCCCTATCTGGCTGGGTCAGCTGTTGTCACCCCAGCACCCAGTATCCACCTGGGTTGGCCTCTGGCCCCTTGCAGCACCCTGTATCTGACCTCCACCACCCTGTGACACCCCGATATCTGATACCCAGCCAGGTTAGCCTCTGCCAACCCATGGCATCCCAAAAATATCTTGTTAGGTAGGCTTCTGCCACCCCAGTGTACCCTGATCACCCCCACAAGGGCACCTCAAGCCCCCCACAGCCAGCCAAGGTTAGTGGCTGTGAGGGTATCCGGGGGGTGACCCCGTATGTGCTGCAGAGGGGCAGCCCATGCAAGCAGCAGCCCAGGGCCTTGTGCCCTTGCCTCTGGGGGGTGCTGGGGGTCCCGGCCCTTGGGGGCACTTTGGGGTGCCCACGATGCCACTGCTGCCAGCAGGTGATGGTGGGTACAGGGTCAGGCCTGCTGGGCTGCTGCTGACAAGACACCGCCACCCCCAAATTGAGCAGAGTCTGGGCTGGCCAAGGGCCCCCCAGGTCGGCAGGCAGAGGTGCCGGCAGCGCACGCCTCAGGCAGGGCTGTGCCAGCTGCCCCGGGGTGCAGGGTCTCTGTGTGTGTGTGTGTGTGTGTGTCTGTCTGTCTGTCTCTCTCTCTCACCCCCTCTGCCGGCAGTGACACCCGGAAACGCAGCTGCACACGCAGACAGACAGACAGACAGACACGCACACACACACAGGCGCCCAGACAGAGGCGAACAGGCACACGACGGCGTTACGGGTGCACACACGCGCACCCCACGGCGCCCACGTGGCTGCGGGTACACCATCACGTGCACCCACAGCTGCACAGACACACAGGGCTGCAGGGGCTGTGGGGCAGGGGGGGGTACCCCAGGCAGGGCTGTGGGGCAGGGCGGGTACCCCGAGCAGAGCTGCGGGGTGGTGGGGATACTGCATGAAGGGGTGTGGGGCAGGGGGGCATGCCAGGTAGGACTGCAGGGCAGGGGGGGTACCCCTTGCAGGTGTGTGGGGCAATGGGGGGTACCCCTTGCAGGCGTGTGGGGCAATGGGGATACCCCAGGCAGGGCTGTGGGGTAGGGGGAGATACCTCAGGGTAGGAATGTGGGGCAGGGGGGATACCTCATGGAGGGGTGTAGGGCAGGGTGACACCCCAGATAGGGCTGTGGGGCAGTGGGAATACCCCAAGTCTGGGTGTGGGGCAGGGGAAGAGGGGGATACCCCAGGCAAGTGTATGGAGCAGCGGGGATACCCCTGGGGGTAGGGGCTACAGGGGCAGGGATGGGGTGAGATGGGGCAGGCAAAGCGCCGCAGCCCCCGACCCTGCAATCAGAGCCCCACACGCCGCGTCCCCATTTGGTCATCCCAAATTGCCCAAAGTACAGGCTGCGCGCCGTGCCGTGCCGTGCCGGCCTGGGGCAGCCGCCGCTGCCTGACTCATGACGGAGGAAGGGGCAAATCACCGGGGTTTCGGGGTGCCGGCCGCCGCCGCGCGCATCAGGACGCATTCTTGTGGCGAGCAAACCGGCTTGCTGGTGTTTACCGAAAACAGCTGAGCGGGGCCAGCATCCCCACGGGGCTCCTGGGAGCATCCCCATCCCTCCTGCTGCTGTGCCCCCCATCCTGCTGAAGCCCCTCTGCTCTCCCCCCTCCCCGTAGCTGGGAAGGGATGGGGGGGGGGGGTATCACCTGCAGCAGGTTCCCCAGGACGGGGATAAGGTGGGGTGGCCACACGGAGCCACGGATGACATGGGGACAAGTTTGCCCCCTCTGTGATGTGGTGACTCCAGGCAAAGGTCACGGGGGCATCGCTGGTTTGGTGGCCTGTGCTGTGGGAAGGACACCTCTGCTAGCGGTGGGACCTGCCCCCCCACCACTGCAGGCATCCCCCCCATCCCCACTGTGTACCCAGCGCTCAGCACCCCCGGGGGCGAGCAGGAAGTGACAGCAGAAACTGCCCCGGGTGCCATGGGGCCGCGTCCCGCTCACGTGCGCTCGGCAGCCGGCACAAGGTTTGGGGTGTTCCCCCTCCCCTGCGGTCTCGGGAGTGATGGCGCGTTTCCCCCCCCGGGGGAACTGGGCTGGGGCGGTAAATGCTGCCTCGGCTGCTTATATTTCAGGCGTGGGGCTGCTGGCTCTGCCCCGGCCAGGGCACACAGGCAGCCCATTGTTGAAGCCCCTTCAGCGGCGACGGAGAGCAGGTAAGGTGGCTCCGAGCATCAATGGTGGCTCTGTCTGCTGGTGGGGCGGGGATGGAGCTGCCGGCAGCGCCGGCGCCCGGCCGGCACACGGGGAGTTGGGGGGTGATGGGGGGCACGGTCCGGCGGGACGTGGCAGCGGGCTGGCAGTTTGCCCGGGGGACGCCGGGACGCCCGAAATCTCAGCGTGCCTGGGGCATCCCCACCCTGACAGCTTTGGATCAGCTTCCCCGGGGGCTTTGCCTCAGCATCTCCCTTCCTCTGAGCATCACCTACGGGGGGGACTCCCCTCGCGCCGCTCGCATCCCCCTTCCTGAGCCCTGGCTGTCGTCTCCCCCATCCCTTCAACAACCACCTTGACAGCACTTCGGTGTATTTTCCCTGTTCAGAGCCACTTTTTGCTCGGCAAATTGGGCAAGGCTTTTATTTTTGGGGTGACTTCAGGCCGAAGGTCCTGTTTCTCGCAGCAGCACTTGCTGCCTGGTGACTGCGTCCCCCCAGGGACCCCTCAGCTCCCGGCACACGGCTCCTCTCCTGCCGAGCCGATAAGACTGTGCTTTCTCATAGCGGGAAACAACCTGACTCTGCATATTTGAGCCGGTCGGGGGGGTTTTATGTTGGGCAAGGACTTTTTTTGGGAACATTCAGTCTCTGGGCTGCCAGTAACTAATCCCCAGCCGTCGGCAGGGAGAGGCTGCCCAGCTCCGTGCTGGCTGAGTGGGAGCAGTGGTGGTGGCCGTGCCTTGCTCGGTGGATGTGAAGCTGGAGATCCCGGTGGATCACTGCTTGCCGGCAAGTCTGGCCTGCCTTTATCGGGACCTCGAGGTAGCCAGGGTGGCAACTTCACGCGTGGGTGCCGGGGGATGAGGGGATCTCAGCTCAGCAGAGTGGGGCAGAGCTGGGTATGTGTGTGAGGTGGGAATGTCACCCGTGTCCTGGGTGGGGATGTTCCCAAGCCCTTTGGCAGATGATTTGTGCCCCGAGCCCTCTCCCCGCGGGGTCTCCTCTGCCCTGAGCAAGGTCAGGGTGGCGCAGCCTCCACCACGCACCCAGGGGTGCCCAGCATCATGGTGACACTGGGTTTAATGCCACCTCCGTGCATGGCGATGGCCTCGCTACCCAGCCGTGGGGCTGCAGCGTGTCCCCATCCCGATGAAACTGGGACTATCGGCGGAGGGCGTTTGCCAAGCCATGAAGGGTCGGTGGCCAATGTGCTGGGGTGGGAGCTCTGGCATCACCGACCCCATTAGCGTGTGGTGGAGCAGGGATGGGAGCTCAGGCCCTCCCCATCCTGCAAATCCCACTGGATTTGGGGCAGGGCACCCACACCCAGCTGGGTGCTGGGTGGCAAAGGCTCGGGATTGGATGAGCCCCCCATTTTGGGGTGGAGGAGCTCCCTGCTGAGCAGGTGGGCTGTCATCTCATCAGGACATGTGCCTGAGCCATGTCTCCTTGCATGTGGCACTGGGACAAAGCCAGGGCTGAGGTCCTGCGACGTCCACATGGGCGTGGGCAACAGGGACGGGGCTGTGGGGCTGGTGTCCGTGGCGTGTGCCGAGTTGCTCAGCGGTGCCACGGTCCTACCCGTGCTGCACCAGCGTCCTCTGGCTCCGTGGGTGCTGGGGACAGGGTGCTGCCCCAAGGGCTGGCTGTTGTTCCTCCGCTCCCTGCTGAGCCTGTGTCCATCTGTCCTGCTGGCCGGCAGTGCCAGCGACACGGGGCTGGCTGTGCTGGCCGGGCAAGTGCGTTGCTGGGGAACGTGGGGAAGGACACAGGGGCTGTTTCTGGGTGGCAGCCGTCAGTTTGAATATATGTTTGAATATATGTCACGTTCCGGCTTTAATTACAGTAATTGGCTGTCGGAAGGCTGTGCTGGCGCCTGCTCTGGCTCTGAGGGGGAGCACGAGCAGCTTAGGTGTTTGATGATCCGTGTGTGGAGGAGTCCTTACCCCCACCTTGCCATTTGTCCCCAGCCCAGAGGCATGTCCCCACGTGCCTGGGGCAACACGGCCCAGGCGAGGTGCACACACATGTGGGCGCGTGCCTCTTTCCAGCCCCATATAATTTGGTGGTTACAGCAGGTGGCTGGAAGGTGAAAGCCATGCTCAGCCCCAGGCAGAGTCTGGCCCCTGCGGGGACGCTCCGGAGTCCTGCAGATTAAAGGGAACCCTTGACCACGAGGCTCCAGCCCTGGGATGGGCATGCTGGTATGCGAGCAATGTGGGTGCTCCAGCAGGACAGACGGATGGAGCATCCCAGTGTGCCTGGGCACCTGGGTGGCTCCTCAGGCCCAGGTCGGGCAGACAGTACCCTGGCTTGTCCCTGTGGGTCAGGGTCTGCAGTGAGACCTGAGTCCCCGAGTGCCTGAACTCTGCCCTGCCCACTCCTGCTGCTCCGGGCACCGGCATCCCCAGCCCAAGCGCCGCTGGCATCCCCACGGCACTGCGGTGCACGGACCACCCGGCTCATCCCACCGCATCAGGGCGCGATGTCCCGGGACATCCCGGTGTGGGCAGCGACAGCTCTAGAGCCTGCCACACCAAACGATTAGCACGAGTGATTGGATTGTATTGGTGACCACAGTGCTTGGAAAAACTAAGATTATCTCAGGCCCTGTTATCTTTTCCAGAGGCCTGGGATTAAGCTGGGGTGGGGGAACGGTGCAATGTCCATCTGTCTGTCCTTGTGGTCTGTCTGGCCTCGTGCTATGCTTGCGTGGGTGCTGGAGGGACTTTGGAGGGACCGGGGAGGGGGGGTGTGTGGGGGGGGCTTGTGGATTTAAGGAGAAGAGGTCTGGCAGCACCCAAAGCCTTGGCATCAGTATTGGCATTGGCATTGGTATCGGCACAGCCTGGCCAGCGGGTACAGCCAGTTGTGCCAAAATTCTGCCAGCATCATGTGGCCCTGCTGGCCCCGCTGCCCTGCCTGCGCCTGGCACCCCAGTTCCCACTGGGGCAGCGGTGGCACTGGGACACCTCAAGGCCACCTCTGCCCTCCGCAGCCCCGACCCACCGAGCCTGGCCGGCAGCGCGGGCAGCGGGAGGCTGGCAGGGCTGGCACCAAGGGCTGCCGTGTGAACACCAGCTCGGCGGTAGAGCACGAGGTGGGGTAGGATTTGGGGTCTGCCCCCCCCTTCGCCCCGGGCTGCGCCGTCTCTCCTCCGCGGGGAGCCGGCAGCCGCTCCAACCGGTTTGTGGGTCTGGGCGGTGACATTTCCCGCCCGAGGCCTGATGGAGGGCTGGGAAGAGCTGGTACAGACGCCAGGGAACAAACAAGAGCCGCTTGTGTCCTGCCGGGCAGTGAGCCCAGCAGCGGGGCAGGGACAGCGTGCTGCTGCCCGGGCACGGGGCCGCGGGGGGGCAAAGGCTGGACTGCTGCCAGAGCAGCCACCCCACGAGCTGGGGGGAAACTGAGGCACGGAAACATGGAGGGATCCCGTCTGGGTGATGGAGTAGGAGGTGCTGGCAACGACAGCAGAGACATCCCGGTGCCTGGGCACCGGCTCTTCCCCTTCAGCACCCCAGGCTGAGTCCCGGCAGCTGCCCTTGGCATCTCCTGCCTGTCCCACGGGCAGCGGTGGGACACACTCCTGTGCCTGGGTGGCCCGATCCCAGTCTCCAGCGTCCTCCTCCGCGGGAACAGCCGGGGATATTAAGTGTCATCGCTTCAGGGAGAAATGCAAGCGGAGGAATCCCGGGAAACTGGTTTTACCCCTCCATCTGGTGCCGGCGGCAGGCCGGCGGCAGCGGCTGGTGCTCCTCCCTCGGCAAAGGCATATAACACCTGCCATGGTCCCAGCAGCCGGCACTGCGCTGCGGGAGGCAGGCAGGGGTGCAGGCAGCGAGCGATGGCCTCCATGGGGCTGCAGGTGCTGGGCATTGCCCTCTCTGTCATCGGCTGGTTGGCTTCCATCCTCTGCTGCGCCCTGCCCATGTGGCGGGAGACGGCCTTCGTGGGCAACAACATCGTGGTGGCCCAGATCATCTGGGAAGGGCTGTGGATGAACTGCGTGGTGCAGAGCACGGGGCAGATGCAGTGCAGGCTCTACGACTCGATGCTGGCCCTGCCGCAGGACCTGCAAGCCGCCCGCGCCATGGTGGTGGTGGCCATCGTCCTGGCCGTCCTGGGCACCCTGCTCGCCGTCGCCGGTGGCAAGTGCACCAACTGCGTGGAGGACGACACTGCCAAAGCCAAGGTCATGATTCTCTCCGGCGTCATCTTTATCATCTCTGGCATCCTCATCCTCATCCCCATCTCGTGGTCGGCCAACACCATCATCCAGGACTTCTACAACCCGCTGGTTACCGACTCCCAGAAGCGGGACCTGGGATCGTCCCTCTACGTGGGCTGGGCAGCCTCCGCGCTCCTGCTGCTGGGGGGGGGGATCCTCTGCTGCACCTGCCCCCCCCGGGGCGAGAAGCCCTACTCCGCCAAGTTCACGGCTGCTCGCTCGCTGCCAGCCAGCAACTATGTCTAGGAGCCGCCGCGCCTGCCTGGACCCCCTGAGCCTCACCAGGGAGCTGGGACCTCCCAGGGCACCCCTGGCCCACAGACCCCCCCTGGCTGGGCCAGGGGCTGGCTGGGAGCCGGGGCAGGGAGGGCTGGGCGCCGGGGTGGTGCGAGGGAGGGCAGACAGAGCTGCCTTTGTTCACCGGGGGATTGAAGCTGGTTCTTTAATCTCCGTTGAGATGGGGAACAGGGAGATCCTGTCCTGGCTGCTCTCCCCTACGGAAGGGGTCCCGCTCCCCCATGAGCACCCAACCATGGCGTCTTCTCCGAAAAACCACCCGATCCCTCCCTGGAGCATCTCCTGGCTCCCGGTATCGGGGTGTGCCGTGTGGTGACGCAGCTTCTAGTGCTCTCGGGGGCCCGTCCTGCGGGTTGCACAGGGCTCTTGCCGTGTAACCTGCCCCCCCCCCCCCCCCCCCCCCGCCCCAGGACGTGCCCATCAAGGGTGGGCAGCGGTGACGGTGGGCTCACCAATCCTGTCCCACGCAGTCACGGGGATGCGATGGCTCTGCAAACCCTGGCAGGGTCTCAAGGGGTGGCAGAGGCTCTCGTCTGCCTGTACCCTAAATTTTGGCTTTGACCTACTTTTGGGGCTCAGAGCGGCTGTACAGACGTGTGATTTCTCGCGGCAGCTCCCCGGGGCGGGGGCATCATTATCCTGGGAGTAGGAAAGCAGCAGCCGGGCTGGGAGAACCGGTCGGGGAGGCAGGAGTGGAGCTGGGCTGTGCACTCACACAGAAGGGGTAACTCCCAGACCCGACCCCATCCCGTGGGGTGCACCCAGCCCCATGGCCCCCCTCAGCATCCCCCTGAGTGGCATACCCGGGCTGGGGACAGGAGGGGGTGGCTCGCGGTCCCCCACACCAGCTGTGCCGCCGTCTCTCCCCGTGTCGCAGCCTTCCAACATTAAATGGCAGCTGCTCAGACCCTGCTGTGCTTTGTTTTCTTTACCCTTTGCAACACCCGCCTCGGTGGCAGGACAGCCTCGTGCTCCTGTGCCACAGACTGCTGTCTCCCTGAGATCCCCCAGATCTGCTCTCTGGAGCCTCCCACAACCCCAGCCACCCCCTGACCCCTGATCCAGCCCTGGCATCACCCTCCCCTCCCCAGGCCACCCCGGGCACCCGCTCCCCGAGGGGTGACAACAGGTTGCCTCCATGGCACAACTCCTTGGCGGTGCCAGACAGGGCATCGGGGCTTCCCCACGCCTGTCCCCGTGTGATCTTGCCACCCCATCAGGAAGGTGACGGGCGCCGGCAAGGGCGGGTCGGGGCACGCTGGCCCTGGGGCCACCCGACAGCCCCGGCTGGGAGCACCCCGGGGCCGGCGTGGGCAACGCCGGGTGTTTTGCCTATCTTGCTTCCGGCACGGCAAGCTGTGCCGGGGTGCAGCCGGCACTCCACTGGCTTGGGAACATCCTTCCCTCCCGCCTCAGGGTGCGTGGGGACGGTGGGTGACACCGGCTGCCTGGCCCTGGGTGTCACATTGGGATCTGGGGGCTTGAGGACTCCCAGCTCCCTCATCCCTTCCCTGGGAGCGGGAATGGTGGAAAATGTGCCTGCGGCCCTGTGGTGCCCCTGGCCGGCTGGAAATGTGAGAGCAATGCTGCGGTGAATGTCCCTGCCGGGATCCACGGGGCTCATCCCCGCTCCGGGTGGTCGTGCGCCCCACTTTGGGTGTCCCTGGTGGTCCAGGTCCCGCTGGCTGGGGAAGGGTGCCCGCCACGGCTTCCCATCATCCCGGCCCCCCGACCTCCCGGGAGGCTGGTCTCCCTTTTGTGAGGAAAGGGACTTCATCTGTGGCCCAAAGGGGCTTTTCATGGACCAGGGAGGCGTCCCATCAGGGATGAAAGGTGCTGGGGAAGGAGTGGGGATGCAAGGGGGGAGGAGAGGCCCCAGAAACTGAAACCAGGGCTGGAGAAACGATGGCGAAACCTCCTACAATGCCACAGGGTGTGCCAGGCACAGCTGATACCCGGCTGCTGCTCAGGGCTCATAAAAACTCACCTGGTCCCAGCCGCCAAGCACTGGTGCCAGCACCCATGGGTGCACTTTGCCCCATGGCAGTACAGGGGGTTTGCTCTGTGTGGGGCTGAGCAGCGATTTGGGCTGAGCCAGCGCCCATGGTGGCCATGTATGACCGTGGTGGAGCCAACGGTGTGTCACCCCTCCTGTGTCACCCCTCCTACAGGGGTGATGCCTGCGGTGACCCCGGGCTCTGTAGCCCCTCGCCGGGGGTTTCCCCAGCTCGGTGCTGCTCCCGGTGCAAAGGAGGAGCAGGTATCACTGAAAGTGCTGAGCACCACAGCCAGGAGCGGAGGCAGACCTGAGCTCTGACCCATTTGCAGTGCCCCAGAGAAGAACTCCTGGGTCCAAAGTCACTGCAGCGCAGCTGCCGAGGGCAAAGCAAAACCTGCCCTGAAATGGCAGGGAGCACATGGTGCTGCGGTGAGGACAGGGGGCTGCCTCGCCTGCCCGTGCCCCCCCAGCATGATGCTCGTGGCCAAGGAGGCTGGAGCACCAGCAACGGAGCAGGACGTGGGGTGGGCGCTGTGGGGCAGCTGTCACAGCAGGATGTGGGGTGAGAGTTGCGGGTGGGGGTCTGTGATTTGGAGCGGGCTGGGATGGGCACAGCGAGCCCCTCATCGTGCTCCCAGAAAGCCATCCCCTCCCTGCCACTTGCCGTGCACCAGGCCCAGCTGGGATGAGGCAATGGCAGAGGACTGTCCCGTGCCATGGGGACGTTGTTGGGGGATACATGGGGGCTCCTGCAACTCGGCCTCCTCCTCAGGACCTGGGTGCTCAGTGCCACCCACATCCCCATGCTGACCTGCACCAATGCTCCATGCCACACGTGTCCCCACGCCGTCCTGCGGCAATGCCCCATGTCACCTGTGTCTCCATCCTGGTCTGCAGCCGTTCCCACCCAGTTAGGAACAGGATGCACCCAGCATGAAGTCCATGCTCTTCAGAAAGCCCTCCTGATTTGGGGCCATGTCTTTGATGGCTGTGCCCTGTCCCCGCAGGTGCTGTGGATGGCGGCGATGACGATGCAGCTGGGTGGGCTGATACTGGCCGTGCTGGGCTGGCTGGGCTCCATCCTTACCTGCGCGTTGCCCATGTGGAAGGTGACGGCCTTTATCGGCTCCAACATCGTGGTGGCCCAGGTCTTCTGGGAAGGGCTGTGGATGAACTGCGTGTACGAGAGCACGGGGCAGATGCAGTGCAAGGTCTACGACTCCCTGCTAGAGCTCACCTCCGATCTGCAAGCGGCTCGCGCCTTGGTGGTCACCTCCATCTTCATGGCCTTCTTTGCCTTCCTCACCGCCATCTCGGGTGCGGACTGCACCCGCTGGGTGGATGACAAGAGCACCAAGACCAGGATCTCCATTGTGGCAGGTGCCATCTTCGTCCTGGCCAGCATCATGCTGCTCATCCCTGTCTCCTGGTCTGCTAACAGCATCGTCAGCAACTTCTACAACCCCATGGTGCCTGAGGCCCTCAAGAGAGAGCTGGGGGCTGCCCTCTACATCGGCTGGGCCTCCAGTGCCCTCCAGCTCTTTGGTGGGGGCATCCTGTGCTGCTCGGGACCCCCGTCCCAGCAGGACCCCTACCCCAAGAAGTACAGAGCGGTGAAAACCTGCAGCCCAATGGGCTACCCCATGAAGGACTATGTGTGAGCCACCGTGCCTGGGTGCCAGCCTCAGGGAGAGCATCACTGTCCCCGTCCTGTCCCGCCGTGCCACCCCCCTGCCCACGTGCTGCCTCCTCCTCCCCTTCCCTGCACTGGCTGCCCCCCCCCGGGCACGGTCCTCTCATGTGTGTCCTTCCTGGCTGCGCTCGTGATGGACTATAAACATCTTGGTGCCACCGAGGTTGCCTGGGCTCATTTTGAAGCGGCACGGCGCGGTGGGGGAAGGACGGTGACGTGCCCTATGGGTGTTGAGCCCTGCCAGCACGGGGGGCTGCTGTCCCAGCGGCTGGCATGTCCCCACGAGGATGTGGCAGTAGCCAGCCTTGCATATCCCCCAGCAGGGAAACTGAGGCAGGGAGAGGGTGCTGAGAGCCAAAAGGGGGATGGGAGGGGCACACCAGGCTCCCAGAGCTCAGTCTTTTGAGCCCCCAGGGACTGAGAGTGGACCCCAGAGAAAGGCCAAATCCTCCCCACTCAGCCCACCCCTGACGTTCTTCAGCCCCACTGCTCTGGGAACAATGCACGGCAGGCAGGCAGTGGTGGCACGGGGGTTTATTCAACAGCCAAATGCAGGGACGGGGACAGCCACGACCCCCAGCTGCCCAGTGGACAAACAGGGGGAGAGGGGCGCAGGGACCCCAAGACTTGGGGGGGCAACATGGAAGGGTGACAAGAGCCACAGGGAAGGGGAGTGTAGGAGATGTGCGGTGACCTGGGTGGGGGACAGGGACAGGCACAGTTACTGTCTCCCACCAGGGAAGAGCTCCTGAGGGGATGTAACCTGTTCCCCAGAGCCATGGGAATGGGGCAAGCAGGAACAGGTCTGGGGGAAGAGAAAAGGAAAAAAGGAAATATCCCAGCAAGAGATTTGGGTAAAAAACTTCCCAAGGGAGCAGTGGGGGAGGAGGGGTGGAGGCAGCGTGGTGAGGGGCGAGGGGAACAGGCTGGGCAGGCCATGCCGGGTGGCTCCTGAAGTCCCTTCCAGCCTCATTTCCCACCCAGACCATTAACTACAAAGCTGTAGGAAAATAAGAGACTTAAGCAGCTATTGTGGGATGAAAGGCTGATGTGGAGCTTGGAAAGCTGCTCGGGCTGGGTGTCACCTTGGCACAGCTGCTCCTGGGCTGGATGTGGGGGTCTCCTGCAGCTCGGTGTGTGTTGGGTTAACTCTTGGGGAGGATGAGGATGGGGACCCACCTCCAACAGTCTCCAGGTAAAGACCACAGGGTCTGGGGTGGAGAAGATGAAGAAGGATCCAGATTTTGCCCATGAGGGCAGAGAGGGTGGGCTTGGTGGGGAGAAGACATCCCGGACCGGAGATGACTCTGAACAGCCAAGTGGGTCCGTGAGGTGTCACGGCGAGGGCCGAGGTGCTGGGAACGGTACCTGAACGTCAGAGCTAACGGCGGTGCCCTGGAGACCACAGTGAAAGCAGAAGCCCCACGCCATGCTGAGGAGCCGGCAAGGTCCCCAGAGCCCAGACCTCAGGAGGAAGGATCCAGGGAAGGGAATGGGGATGCTTCCCAAAAACACTGTCACCCCCCAGTAGTGGCCCTGCTTGAGGAGGGGCTCAATGGGCTGGGTTTTACAAGAGGCCAAGCGCTCACCCCGCCTCTCCCAGAGCCACATTGGCCCTCAGCCCTCCTCCAGGCAGGGCACGGGGCATTTCTGATAGATGTAGACCACCCCGGAGATGTAGCCGGTGCCCTGGGTGCTCTCCTCATCCGAGGTGGCCCTCTCCCAGCACTCCACCTCCTGGGCCAGCACCTTCTGCCAGGCTCCCTGCCCCTCCAGCCCCTCCAGCACGGCCTCCAGCTCCGCCTTGTACCGCCGGTTCGAGGGGTTGCTCCTGGTCGTCAGGCAGAGGAAACCTCCTGCCAGGAGAGGGGACGGGTGACACCCACGCCGGGTGACCCCCCCCCCCCCCCCCCCCGCCGAGGCTGGCACCCAGCGACCGGTCCCCCACTGGAAAGTGTGGGTGTGGGTGGTGAGGGGAGGCAGCGAGACCGTGCTGGGTGTCAGCAGGCAGGGAACAGGCAGGGTGTCACACCGAACCCCGGGTTGTCACACAGCTGGGGTGTCACCGCCACGTCCCCCAGCAGGCCGGCCCAGGGACTGGGGTGCCACTGAACGTCCCTGCTGGCACCCGTCATCCCCGTCCTGCCACCACGGGTGTCCCGGCGGGGTGGGGACAGCGGGGGGACACCCGCCCCCTCACCCGGTTTGGTGACACGCAGCAGCTCCGGCACGGCCGCGCTCGGCACCTGCCCCTCGCCCAGGGCTCCCACCACCGTCACGGCGTCGTAGTGCTCTGCGGGGACACGCGTGGCATCACCGGGGGGGGGGGACCCCCCAGGGCAGCATCACCCCCCCCACCGCCCCCCACCCCCCGGTTACCTGCGGGCGCGGGCAGCGGTTCCTGGCCCAGGACGCACCGTCGCAGCTGCTGGTAGAGCCCGGTGCTCCGCGCCCGCTCCAGCATCCCCGCGCTGCCGTCCACGCCGTGCAGGCAGCGGAAGCCGCGGCGGTGGAGCTGCGGGGACAGACGGCCACACGGTACCGTTAGTCTCTCCTCCCGGCCCCGTCCCCCTCCCCGTCCCGCCCGGTACCTCCCGCGCTACGAGCCCGGTGCCACACGCCACGTCGAGCAGCCGCGCCCCGGCGGGCGGCGCGGGGAAGGCGGAGGCGAGCGAAGCGGCGGCCAGGTGCGGTGCCCGGTACTCCAGCGCCGCCACATCCTGCGGGGACACGGCGGTCAGCGGCGCCGGGGAGCGGAGCGGAGCGGAACGGCCCCGGTACCCCCGGTCTCCCCCCCCCCCCCCCAGCCCCGGTACCTGCTCGTAGAGGGCGGCCCAGCCGTCGTACAGCCGCAGGCGCTCGGACAAGCCCCCCCCGCCATGCACCGCCGCCACCCGCTCCCGCGCCCCCGCCGACAGCTGCATCCCCCGCCCGCCCCGCGGCCCCGCCACGGGCACGCCCCCAGCGCCCCATTGGCTCCGGTCGCCAGCCCCGGATACGCCCCCAGCGCCCCATTGGCTCCGGGCGCCAGCCCCGGATACGCCCCCTGCGCCCCATTGGCTCCGTGCGCCATTTCCCCAGATACGCCCCCCAGCGCCTCATTGGCCGCCGGGCCTGCGCCGTCACCGCCTCCGTCCCGCTCCGGTAGCGAGAACGGCCAGCCGGGTGCGACCAAGTGCGCCGGGGGCGGGGGGGGGTGGAAAGGGCCAAGTGGGCCGGGGGGGGACCAAGTGCCCCAAAGGGCCACAAAGTGTCCCGAGTGGGTGGCACCAAGTGACCCGGGAGGGGGACATCAAATACCCACGGGTGTGTGTGTGTGTGTGTGTGTGTGTGTGTGTAAAAAGTGCTCTGAGGGGGGTGACCAAGTGTCCAGGAGTGGGGCACCAAGTGCCCCGGGTGGGTGGCACCGAATGCCCACGGGGGGTGACACCAAGTCCCCCGGGGGGAGTTGTCACCAGGTGCCCCAGGGCCACCGCTCCCTCCCTGCAGAGTCCCCCCAGCCCCGTCCCACACCGCTGCAGATGTGCTGCTCTGTCACTTGCAGGGGTCATCCCTCCCTCGTGTCACTGATGTCCCAGGCACGGGGGTGGCTCCCTTGGGCAGGTCACCCCTTGTCCCAGCCCCACACGGCCCTGACGCTGCACTGTCACCTCCGCGCCTGCATCCCCATCTTCTCCTGCCACTCCTGCCCAATCGCCCAGTGGTGGGCGAGTGGTGATGATGCTCCTCAACCACCACCTGAACCCATCCTGTCCCACAACGTGTAAAGGTGACATCTTAATGCTGAGCAGCTCTCCCAGCCCCCAGGGAAGAGGGGACCCACCGCCGGGGCAGGTCCTTCACGTCCTGACGTGTCCGCCCATCCCCAGCTGCCCAACCACCCCCATGGGTGGTCATTCTGCGCTGCCCCTTGCCCATGGAACTGGTGTGTAGCAGCAAGTGGAGCTTGGAGACAGACAGAAGCATGGACCCTTGGGGCTGGGAAGGAGGAAGAACATCTTGTCTATGTCAGGTTTGGGTTTTGTTCATAGGAAACAGGACAAGAAATCTCACTAAGTGCTGACACAGTACACAAAGAGGTGGTAAAGATGCCTCCTCCCTCGGTTCAGGTGTCTGGCATTTGTGATGTACCCCATCCAGCTGATTAACGAGAGACATTCGTTAGCTCTTGAGTAGATAGCACCCCAGCTGGAGGCGCTCTCCATGGGAGGTCTCACACTTCTTGTGTCTCTGCTGCGTTGGGAGTGACTCTTGTCTTCTGCTAAACCAACCCTTGATGTTTGTACTGGAGGACGTGGGACAAGCTCTGGCTTGTGGGACCACCCTCAACCGTTGTGACCCATCACTTGGCTTCTGGCTTTTTTCCAGGACCAAACCAGACAAATCCATCTGCTAATTAATGATGGAAAGAAAATGAGGGTGCCCCGAAGGAGCTGGTGGCTGCCCCAAGGCCACACTGGTGGGTTTCACCACCTCCTGCTCAGCAGCTCGGGCGCCTTGCTGGTGCTCCTCGGTTGTCCCCACATCCTCGCGGTCACCACGCCGGTGGTGGTTGCTTCGCCTGCATCCAGCTGCTCCGGGTCCGGGAGCCCCGTGGTGGCCCGGCCACGGTCACGAGTGGGGGCTGCCTCTGCCCCTCTGCCTGGCAGTGCTGGCCGGGGGCCTCGAGAGGGAGCCCTCTGCCCACGCAGGGCCCCCGCCGGCCTGGCACTGCCCCCCCCGCCCGTCGGGACCCCCGGCACCCCCGCAGGCTCAGCAGCAGCTCGGTGTCACCCCCGGTGACAACCTCGGAGTATCCCTCGGGGATGGGGCGGGGGGGAGAGGGAACGCGTGGGTCTGGGGCAGGCGGCCAGGGGTCGGACCCACGCGAGCAAGGGATTATCCCCACCCACACCAAGGACACGCGGATGGCTCCTGGATGGGGTCCGTGGGGGGGCTGCAGCCCTGCAGCAGCTCCTGCCACCGCACACGGGCACTTTGTCCCCTCTGCAGCCGCCGTCAGGGGCCCGATCCTGTCCCCTCAGCGCTGCACCTCCTTCCCCGGTGCTGTGGTGACCGCTGGATGCTTTGTGGCCCGGCCTCTAATAACGGCTTTCACACTCCCAACGTGGTTTCCACCACTAATTGAAGCCTGGCCTCCATTTACAAGATAAACCAGAGTCAGGGTACGCCGCCAGCATCCCCACCCCGACTCCACTACCCCCTCGGGCTGCAGCTGGGTCGTGCCTTCCCCGAGCCTTGACCTGCACGGATCCAATCCCAAATTAGCCGGTGCTTTTCCAAACATCTCCTTCCCGGAGTTGGCTCGCTCCGCTGCGCCCTGCACAGCTGTGCAAACAGCTTCGCCCCGCGTCGTGGCGGCTTTGGGCTGGCTTGAACCCAGCACCAGCCAGCTGGGGTTTGGACCGGACCTGGTGCCAACGTCGGAGGACTGGGGCTGTCCCCTGAGGATGCACGGTGGGATGGCGGGGACCCCACTGAGAGGTGGCAGCAGGTTGTGGCAGGTTGGAGCTTCCCCGTGGCCAGTGCGGGTGCTGAGGCTGGATTTTGTCCTGGCACGTGGCCCGGTGCAGGAGGGCTCCCACTCGGGCACATGCCGTCCCGCTGCCGGGGTGCAGTTCCTTGGGGTGCTGTCCTTGTCCCCTGCCTGGGGACAGGGGATCTGGCTGTGCCCTGGCTGTGCTGGCTGCATGGGGCACATCGCCCCATCCTGCTGGGACCCTGGAGCTGGGGCTGGGCCAGCTTGGTGCAACTGCTCCAGTGGGGTGTCCCCATCAGCACTTGACACGGAGGCTGGGGAATGTGTGTCCCCAGGGCGGGGGCTTTGCTGGCCACCCTGAGCCCGCAGACCCCTGCCATGACCTCACCTGCCTTCCCTCACCAAGAAGGTGGTGTGAGGGGGGAAGGGCAGCCTAGGTGGGTCCCTCGCCCTTGAACCTGCCACGGAGCTGGGACAGTTGATGGCAAAGACAAGGTCTGAGCTGGGTTTGGATCCCCTGGGGGCCCAGACATCTCCAGGGTGGGATCTGCTAGCTCTGGAAATGTTGTCTGCTCCTAATCTGCCTGCAGGTCCCACATCCGAGCCAGTCCCGACCTCTGGGTAACGTGTGTGGTGGCAGCTGGTGCACAGGGCAGGGTGGCTTGTGCAGAGCATCCCTGGCATGGCCTCGGCCCTTGGGGTGGGACTAACCATGTTCCCTGCACCGACTGACACTGGAGGGAAGTCCTTAAGCCTCTCCATCGGGGTGGAGCTGTGGGATGCCCAGTGCCACGGCTCCACATACCCCAGAGGCTTGCTGGGTGGTCGTACATGAGCCCAGTGGCATCAATTAGTGACGGAGGGATGGTCCCTGGCAAGAGAACAGGGGGAGGCTGGTGCTTTTGAGGGTACCCTGACAGTTCCAGGTGCTTGGGGATGATTTCCATTCAGCACCCAGCTGAGAGCCTGAGGCTGGTGGGACCCACAGGGTAGTTTGGGCCCTGGGATGGCAAACGACCGCTGCAACGAGGAACTTGCATATCAGCAGTCGTGATGACTGTGCTTGCGGGCTGAGGGATAGGATGCAGTCTGGAGGCAGCAATGAGCATCCCTATTAGTGCCCTGTGTGTGTCCAGCTCCTGCTTCCTGCTGGCATCGGCTGCTGGGAGCTCACAGGAGCTGCAGGCACGCAGCCGGAGCCCAGCCGCTCCCCTGCCAGGGCTGCCTTGGCACCCACATCCACCTCCAGAGTATGGAACAATCAAACCCCTTCAGCTTGTACTTTGCCAGCGCTCCCAGGTGCCTCCCCTCTGCTTCCCCCACCCCAGCATCAAAGCCCTGTGCATCGCCCTGCCCTGGAGGTGCCCTACCCTCACCCAGGGACAAGGGCCCTACAGGTCCTGGGTACCACGATGGCCAAAAGACCCCTCCAGAGCAGCACGTTGTCTTCATCAGCAGCTGAGAGTCCAGCTTCTCCACACAGCCTTCAGATGTGATGAACGGGCAGGGACGATGTGCTGCGTGGGCTGCGTGGGCTGCATGGGTGGCTCCGTGCTGCTCAGGGGTTTGCACGCACTTCTCTGGTTCCAAATATTTGCACTCATGGGTGCTCAGAGCCTGGCACTTGGGTGTTTTCCAGCCCTTTGGCCCAGCTGTGGGGTGGATGCATTCCATGGGGTCGGGAAGGGGGAAAGATGCTTGATAGGACTAGCTGGAGGCTTGGCAACCTCTGGCTCAGGGGACTTCGGTGACAGTCATGGTGACTGCCACTGAAGGCTGTCAAGAACATGGACTGCATCTCCATACCCCTCTTTCTACTCCAGGTCCTTCTTGGTGGTGTGGAGAGGATGCTAGTGCCAGGGAATGTCCTCAGGGCACCCCAAGGCATGCACAGCTCTGGGAAGGGACCCCCCGTGCTCCTCTGCTGCACATCCCGAGCTTGGGGGAGCAAGGACAGTCCTCCCGTGGGGCATTTGATCCCCATGAGGTACAGGAGTTGCCCTGCTGAAGTGGGGTGCTCTGCAGGGAGCAGAGTTGGGCTATGAACAGGGCAAGGCACGAAAACCCCATGGGTTGCCAGCCAGGTGGGAGCTGGAGAGCCCCTGGGGGGGGCAGAGGCAGGAGGGAGCATGTCCCCATGGCCAAGGAGGTGGCAGACAGCAGGATGGATGGGGCGGCTGGTGGGGTTTTGCAAATCAGTGCATGCTTAGAGGACACAGCATTTTTCTCTCCTCGCATCTGAATGTGTCTGGAGTCCATCAGCCCCCAAACTGTCCAGTCCTTCCCTAAAATCCAGCCTTCTGGTGTCCAGGGACAAGTGGATTTTGCCCCCTAACACATACCGATCAACACCACGAGCCGCCCCGGGTCACTGGGCTCCTGCTCAACTTCTCTGTTTGTAAATCCAAGTGTTGTTGTGATTGATGGTGGCCAGAGCTGCTGTCACT